GCTCAGAGCGGGTGGGCATTGCCCAAGGTCACATGGTTAACAGGCAAGGTCAGAGCTGACATCAGGCCTTTTCCACCGCCTCAGGACCCTGGCAGAGCTGTGATTTCAGGAGGTTGAGGCTGTGGTGAGCTGTGATTGTGCCACTGCACTCCATTGTGTGACAGAGTGAGACCTCAACTCAAAATTTTTTAAAATATCACGTGGGTCACTTAATTTAATTGCCATGACGACACTATCCCAGAAGGACTTATTATTGTTCTTGTTTTACAGAGAAGGGAACTGAGGCACAGAAAGTCACAGTGAGATGCCGAGGTCACATGCTGGGCAGCTGCAGATGCAGGGCTTGGACAAGGTGCTCCTGCCTCAGGCCCGGTGCTCAACCAGGGCAGGGCATCCCCCAGAGGACAGCATGGCCATGTACTGGAGACACTGCCAGTCATCACAGGTGCAAGGGGGGTGCTCCTGGCATCGAGTGGGTGGAGGCCAGGGATGCAGCTCAGCGTTCGCCCTGCACAGGACAGCCCCACCGCAGAGACCAGCCCGTCCCACACGTCTCAGAGCTGAGTTGGGAAGCCCTTCCCTGGGCCTCGTGCTGTGGGCCCAGAGAGGGAAGGGAAAGGTGCAAGGTCACTCAGTGGTCGGGAGCTGGAAGGACCGCAGGGCTGGGGCCCCGGGACTCAGTTTCCTATCAGTGGCTCATCCTGAGTGGTGGGGTGGGGTGGCGACCATCCAGCAGAGTGGATGAAGCTGAGTCGCCTGGCTGGACGCCAGGGAGCCACAGCGCACCCTTGAGCCAAGCATCTGCATGCGGGGGCTGGCACGATGGGAGAGTGGTGCACACACGAGTAAGAATGAAGGCTGACAGCAGCTCCCCGTGGGGGCAGAGGGGTGCTGGTGGGTGGGCCCACTGTGTCCCCGCCCCGCCCTCACTCACCCCGATCTTTCCCGTCTTGGCGGCCATCATGAGGGGCGAGAGGCCGTCGTTGTTGAGCACGGCCTCCAGGTTGCTGTCGGGAAAGAGGCGGGCGCACTTGAGCAGCAGGAGGTCATACATCTTGGTGACAAACTTGGTGTTCTCACGGGTGTTGTCGGCGATGGCCACCAGGGCGTGCAGCACCGTGTTGCCGCGAGAGTCCTGGCGCCGCATGTCTGCCTTCTTGTGGGGGTTCTCGGTCAGGTAGTTGACGATGTGGGGCTGGTTGGTGCAGGCAGCCAGTGACAGAGGCAGCTCCCCTGTGGGCCGGGGGGGGAGTTTAGGGGGCCGGGGGGACTGGCCTGCAGACATGGGGACGGTGGCACCGCATGCAGGGCGATGGTGGGCACAGGGCCAGTGCTGGCTGTGGGCACATCATGTGTGAGGACGTTTCCATGGGCAAGGGTGGGGAAGGGAGCGTGGCTGGGGGCGTGGCCGTGCTACTGGAAGGCTGTGAGGGCCTGGACACATGTGAGGGTGGAATTCCCAGTGTCACGGACCCGAGCCCCACAGAATGTGTGCCTTTAAGCACAGGCGAGAGTTCAAATATGTCAGTCCAGCTGTGACAACATGGCGTTGGTGGGGTTGGGTCCTGCAATCCGATCGCTGGTCCTGCTGAGTCGGACCAAAGGATGCAGATGAAAGGGTGCCCATGCTGACACGGCATCCCAGCCCAAGGGTCCTCGTGATTCCCCTGTACACCTGGGGATGTTGAGGCTCAGGGAGGCGGCCACGTGGCTGGGAGGCAGCAGAGTGAAGATTTGAACCCAGGTCCCAAGTCCATGCTTGGCCCAGAGGCAGGACCGGTGTGCAGCAGGGCTCTGGTGTGGGGGAGCAGCTAAGGCTGTGTACACCAACTTGTTCCCCTTGTCTCCCACCTGCAAGCCTCTCCCGCGTGTCCTCACCCCTGCCAGACCTCTGCTCACCAAAATAGAAGTAGCCGCCCTCATCCTTGGGCTGGAAGAAGCGCCCCCGGGCCTGGGCGTGGACATCGGCTCCCTGGGCCACCAGGAGATCCACGTAGTGCTTGCAGCGGCGCTCGATGGCAATGTGCAGGGCGGTCTGGCCTGGGGATGGGGGGTGCAGGTTGGGGGGGTGGTCACCCAGGGCCCCCGACAGGGCAGAGACCCCACCAGGTGGGGGTGGTGCAGAGTGCAGGCTGGGACGAGACTTTGGGCCAGAACAATGGCCAGCAATGCTGGAGGGCACACACTCCTCACAAAAGCGGAAGTTCAAGCTCAAAGGACATCCCACGTGTGGACTCTCAAACGTGGGGACTTTTCAGACTCACAAGGTGCTTTGGTCCTAGAGGAAGTAACGGTGTCTGGGCCTCACAGAATTTTGGACTCAGGATATAAAATTTATGGACTTTGAATCTTAATATCCAGGCAACTAAATGGCCAACTGGGGATGGACAGAATCTGCAGAATTTAGAAGCCAGGCATGGTGGCTCATGCCTGTAACCTCAGCACCTTGAGAGGCTAAGGCAGGAGGATGGCTTGAGCCCAGGAGTTGGAGACCAGCCGGGGCAACATAGCAGTGAAGGGACTGCCTGAGCCCAGGAGGTCCAGGCTGCCGTGAGCTATGATTGCGTCGCGGCACTCCAGTCTGGGCGACAAAGCGAGACACCCAAGAGGAGGAGGAATTGGAGGAGGAGGAAGACGAAGAAGAGGAAGAGAAGGAGGAGGAGTTGGAGAGAGAGCTTGGATGCTGCCAGCCGCTGCCTCTCAGCTGTCCTGGCTGTGGACTCCGTAGAAGAGCCTGGGGCCTCCAGCCGCCAGAGCCAAGGGCCAGACCGCACTCAGGGCCACCGGGCGCCCCGCATCCGTCTGTTGTCTTGGAATCTCCGATCC